TTCATTTGTATACCGCATTTATCAGCCTGAGGCGGCGACTCAATGCGGTTTACAATAAAAATAAGCAACATTGAACAATATATAAGACGCACATACACAGACAACATATATAATCATCAACGCCTCGCTTAGAATCAGATCCCAATCTCATAGTCCTTTTTCAATCCTTGTTCCAAATACCGTCATTATTGAGTTGGTTGTCATCACATAGTTATCCGAATGCCTGCTCATAGAGCCACGTCTTAACTCTCCTCCGAAACACCAGTAACGAAGGGGCCTGCCTGATGTCCTGGTAGCGCATTCCATAGCCGCGGGGCCACTACCGAGAAGGCCCTGTCTCTCGTCCCCGCCAACCGCACTTGTGACGCTGGCGGAACCGAGAGCAGGGCCTCCCCGGACGATCTTAACGTCCTAACCGGTTCATAGGTGGAGATGCGTTCGGAGAGGTAAGTGGGGCCGGAACCGTGTAGGGCTTTATAGGCTAAAGCCAGCACCTTGAATTGTGCCCGGTAGCAAATTGGCAGCCAGTGGAGCTGGCTCAACAGGGGGGTGGTGTGCTCCCTGAGAGCCGCTCCCGTTAGCAACCTGGCTGCCGAGCGCTGGACCATCTGAAGCTTCCGGGCAGTCTTCAAGGGCAACCCCACGTAGAGCGCGTTGCAGTAATCTATACGGGATGTGACAAGAGCGTGGACTACCGTGGCCAAGTCCGACCTCCCAAGATACGGGCGCAGCTGGCGCACAAGCCGAAGCTGTGCAAATGCTCCTCTGGAAACCGCCGAAACTTGGGGTTCCAAGCTTAGCGAAGAGTCCAGAGTCACACCCAAGCTGCGAACCTGCGTCTTCAGGGGAGTGCGACCCCGTCCAACACAGGCTGTAACCCTATACCCTGTTCGGCCTTCTGACTGACCAGGAGTACCTCTGTCTTGTCTGGATTGAGTTTCAATTTACTGTTGTTCTTTAGTGTTTACTCAAAGTGTGTGTGCTGTGTTGTGTGTTTATGTGTCTTTTATTTTCAGACAACACAGCTGCATCAAAGTATGCCATTATACACACACACACATATACATACACACACACACACATACATATCTCCCGGTTACCAATTTCCTTGTCTGATTGCCCAAGGTCTATGAATATACAATCATGTCAATCATGTGGAATCCTTTCTTGTCTTTGGTGTTCAGCTCCTTCTAGGTTTCTCTCTATGCCTGCTGAAGGCTACACTGCCATATATATATTCTGCTTGTAAATACAGGAAGGAATTAAACACAGTACAGCAATATCTGCTAAAAACTGGACTGAAAGCACAGGCTAGGGTTGATGTTAAGTCACGGTGAATATAGCTCTCCCGTAGATGATTAGGTAAAAATATACACAATTTCTAACATGGAACAAAATTGTGTCTCGACTGGGATCATGAGTGCATTGGGGGGGGGGGGTATTCAGAGATAGCCATGTTGACTGTGGAGCAAAATAAAGAATCCACAAGCAGCAATACCTTTCTGGGACCATAGCATAGAATAAATTATGCAAAATTTTGAAGCTTCACTGGCTTCTTCATGAGGCAAAAATGTTAAAAATCCTACAGAGAAAAAATAGTGTCAGAGGTCTATATTATCTCTGAAATATAATCAGTAAAGGTGGTATTGAGGGATTTCAGTGCAGACAAACCAAGTGAGGACTAGAGACTTGCCAAATTGTATACCCAAATTGTTGTTCAATGAAGGATTCCCTCTTGTTAGTGTTCCCCTATTGTGGCTAAATTTGAGATCTTGAAATCCAGGGGAAAATATAATCTGGCAAGTTTATCTATAAAGCACCTAAATATTTCTTCAGCTGCAACAATCCAGGGACTGCTTGATACATTAAATGCTTAAGAAAGGAGTAGTTAGTTTCTCATGGGATAGGAACATCTGGATATCAAAAGAAGTTATTTTCTGTTGCAACTGCATTTGAAATGTACCTGTCTTTTATGGCTTTTTGTCCCTCGTTTCTATTTTATGCTTTGGAGCAAGACCCAAAAAGGTGTGTGGGCTGATAGTTCAATAAAAATTGATCCATGCCTGGGCTAGTGAATCTTGGAGACATAAGCTATTGAAAATAGCACAAAACACCAGGAGTGTGGAAAAGTTCAGGAAAAACACCAAGATTTGCTCTATGTTTTATTCCTTTCTTCTGTGATATTCCTGCCTGAGCAAATGGGAAAAGGCAAAGAGTTTGATGAGCCAGTCTTTCTAAGCACAAGCCACAGCTCTGAACCTTTAAGTTCACAAAAAAACGTTGTTGTTGTTACCTGTTTCTTCCTAGGATACTCAAAACACTAACATAGTTTTTGACATAGTTCTGTCAAAGCAGACATTAGTGTTCCAGTATCTTCAGATACAGATTACATTTGTAGTAATTAAGTATCACTTTAATTGTCTTGGCTACAGCCTACAGAATTATTGTATTTGTAATTTGAAGAGGGATTTGGGATTCTCTTTATGAGTGTTCTAGTGCTATAGTTTTAGGTTATGTGAGCAGAGAATCCTAAGTACCAACCTTCAGACCCAGGATTCCCAAGGAGAGCCATGGCCGTTAAGGTGGTATCAAACTGCTGTTATTCTGCAGTGCAGATACATCTTAAATCTACACAATCACAATTGCCATTTCACACTGGACCCTTGATACATTAATGTATTGAGATGTAACCCCCACTCCATGCCTTTAAGTTAAAATTAAAAAGCCGTAAGTAACATTTTACACATTTACACATTTTAAACAGTGTAAGTTCTTGGAGCATTAACTGCCTGTCAAAATAAATTAGGCTTTACTAAATCTACCAGTGAATTGAGGTGGGTGACATGGAAAGACTCTAGGTCTCTGATGTGGAAACATCCACATCCATGCCTGTCTGGAGTTAGAGGGCAACTGCCTTCTCAATCACCTTGCCCAAAAAAGAAAGGTTAGACACTGGTCTGTAATTATTAATGTCCAGGGGATCCAGGGAGGGCTTTTTCAGCAGTGGTCTAACTACTGCTTCTTTTTAAAAGGATGGAAAGTTTCCCTCACTGAGATGCATTAATAATTTGCCATATTTAAGATCAAATTGCATCTCCTCCCTGGACAACCAGCTAAGAGAGATAGTGATCAAGAAAGCAGATTGTCTTCCTTGCTTGCCCCAGCAGCTTATCCACATCAACAGTACTCACCAATTGAAACTGATCCAGTGTAATCCCACTTGCAGAGTTGTTGGACACCTCCTTGTTGACTTCTGCTCCAATGACAGAATCTAAGCCAGCTCTTAGATGAGATATTTTATCTGCAAAATGGTTGTTAGAAGCATAACAGTGAGATACTGAAGCTTCTAGCAATGAGTTTGAAAGGGAGGGCACCTGGGTTAAGCATCTCACCACTATGAACTGCCCATCTGGACATGAATTTACAGGTGCAATGCATTCATAGAATAAAGTTTTCTTTGCTGCACATATTGCCGCCTTATAGGAGCAAAGGTGCCTTCTATGTCGTGTCTTGTCATATAAAAGTCCAGTTTTCCTCCATCTGCACTCTAGTCATCATTCATTCCCATTTCATTTACCTGAGGGTCTCTGTATACCAGGGAACCTAATTTGTAATGGATTGGAGAGGACATTTGGGAACAATCCTGTCAATAACCTTGGCTAGATATTTATTCAATTATTGACCAAGGATTAAACAGGATCATCAGTGATGCCAGCCATAGAACCCTCTAAGGCTGCCTGGAATTTCAAAAGATCCATTAGCCTTTGAGGACAGACTGTTTTAATTGGTCCTCCACCCATGCAGGGGTAGATTGTAGCTGTGATACTAGCCCTGACCAGAAAATGATCTATCCATAACATCTTGGAGGTCTCGATTATTTCCATATGATCACAGATCCATATATTCTGAGCTGAAAATCGCATCAAGAGTATGAGCTGCTGAATTTGTCAGTCCAGAAACCAATTGGGATAGCCTCATGTTTGTTATGGATGCAATGAACTCCTAAGCTATAGCTGACAAACTGGCCTCCAGTGGTATGTTGAAGTCACCCAGAAGCAAATGTCTGGATGACACCAACAACAGTTCTGTGAGCTCTGACAGGGAGTCTGTTAGGCAACGGGGTGGATGGTAAACTAACAGAATCCCTAGTCTGTCCCTGGTTTTCAGACTCAGGTACACACACTCAATGTGATTCATCTCCCTAATAGGTAATCTGGTTAGGTTAAGATGGCCCTTATAGACCATGGCTATTCCACCACCCCACCCACTTTCCCTCACCTTCTCACTGACACAGTACCCACCTGGGAGGGTCTGAGCCCAGGTTGGAGCACTGCCCTCCCCTAGCCAACTGTCAGTGAAGCATTCCAGGTCAGCCCCTTCATCCTTGAGAAGATAATAATGATATGTGTCTTATTCTTGACTGACCTGGCAATTTTTAAGAGCAAGGTGAGGTTTGGTGGGTCACCCAGACTGGCAGGGTGACTAGAAGGTGGGATAAGTATTAAATACCTTTCTTGCCTTCTTCTATGAGGACATGTGACCCTGACATATCTCCCTCTGCCCTGCACAATTTGTATTGCCACTCCAGTGTCTGTATACATTGAATAAAAAAAACAATATAGGGACAGACAAACAATGAAAAGCAAAAAAGGAAACAACAACAACAGACAAATTATAAAACATTAATACAACACTAGGCCTCAAATGCCCCAGATTTCATTTATGAAATGTTGGACAGCTATTGGTTTGACTCTGTAGTGGAGGAATTATGATTTTCCATATACAGCTAGGTCCTGACTTTGTCATTTAGGGTAGATAGGAGCTGTAATACTCTAAATTTCCCATGTCTCATTTCTGTACACAGGGAATCAATTGAAGCTTCCCTCAGCAGTCATAGTACACTGTACTGTATACATCCCACGGAAGTGCCTATAGAGGTTATGCAGGTAACCCCCTTCAAGGGTAACCAAGCTAAATGTTATCTATGCTCTTTCTTTTAGGTTTCAGGGAAAGTGCTTTTGCCTATGCAATTGCAGCTGCAGGTGTTGTGCATGCAGTCTCCAATGCCTGTTCCCTGGGAAAGCTGCAATCCTGTGGCTGTGACCAGAAGCGTCGGGGAGACGAGGAGGCTTTCCGGGTCAAGCTGCACCGTCTCCAGCTGGAGGCCATGAACCGAGGCAAAGGGATGATGCATGGTGTGCATTTGGAACACATGCCAGCAGAGGCCCCTGGCCTACAAGACTCCTGGGAGTGGGGGGGCTGCAGCCCTGATGTGGACTATGGGGAGAAGTTTTCCAAGGACTTCTTAGATTCCCGGGAGATCCATCGAGATATCCACTCACGCATGAGACTGCACAACAACCGCGTTGGCCGGCAGGTAAGATGAAAATAGAACAAGGGGAATAGGTAAGAAGCAAGGCTTTAATCTTGCAAATAAACACCTGGAGGTTTAGGTGGAAGGAAATAAGAAATGAGTTCAGCATTTCAATCAGTTCATTGCTCTAAGAGAGTTTGTGCTAGGTCTATAGTCACTAAAAGGTGCTGTCAGCCAGAATTTTGTGGTTGCAATTTTGCGTATGGAGGGTGGTGAAAGGGCAGGCAGTTCACCAACACCTGGGACAACCTGATGCAGACTTCTGTCACCCAGTGCATGCTATGCTTGTCTCCTCCCAATAGTCTGTATTGCAAGTACAGCTAATCCAGCACAAGTTATTTCAATGTGATGCCACTTCATCTCAACTTTGTAGAGTTGCTCAACACTTTTCTTGTATTGATAGCAGAGATGTAGAAAGTACAAGCAAATTGTACCTTCCATGGCTGTGAGTGGGGGAAGAGGGATGTGACATGCCCAGGCATATGTTTCAAACATTTGTGTCCTGCTTTTCTATAAGAATATTTGGGACAGGAAACAATTTTATTTCACAGACATAATTTTGTTCAAGGATGCCAAGAAATATCATGGCCAAATGAGTCCATGTGAACAATCAATTAATATGGATCTTCTTCAGCCATTCCCTTGATCTAACAACACCATTCAGAGGCAAAAGCCACTTTCTCTGGATATTAAATGATGATGCCAGACACACCTCAAACCACATAGTCTTCACAATTAGCGTACTTTACTTCTGGGTGTTGTGGAGAGGCAGATGAGAGCTGCTCTGTCATTCTGAGCCCATGATCTTCCTGGGTGTGAGTGAAGTCTGGATTAGATGGGATTCCCAGATTCAGTAAAGTAGCTTTGTTGCCGCTTGCAAGATCTCAGTTTTTAAACTAAGAGATGAGCATAGATATGAATTTAGAAAATAGTACTATCCAGAATGCTTTTGCAGGCTCTCAAGTAATACAGTACCTCCGTAAGTCACAAAGGCACAAATTTATAAAAGAAATCTGGAAAAATCCCTGTTTGCACTCATGACAATGAAAGCTGACACCTGCACATGTCTGACTTTCAAATCACCATCTTCAATACTATTGTTGTTGTTGTTGTTGTTGTTGTTGTTGTTGTTGTTGTTGTTATCAGTCAACACCTCAACACTATGCTGATAAAAACTGCCATTTCAATGGGAGTCTTTGAAGTTACAGTTTTTGTTATCACATTCAGGTGGTTTGTTTTGTTGCATGCCCTTAATATCTATTCTTCAGTTAGAGAACTCATGGTTAGTGGTGATATCAAAGCGCTGATCATCATCTAGTGATGACTATTCTAGTGAATGCACAAGAATGGTTGTCACCAATGCATTTCACACCCACTGCATCCCTCTAGTGACCCCACTGGAAAACTGCCACTTTTGCCCCATATATATCAGCCACTGTTGACTGAAGCCCTTACCTCCCATTGCCTAATGATAGAGCTGGCTCTGGTGTTGGCCACTTCACCCAGTAACTCTCTTCTGGAAGAAGAGTTCTGTTTTGTTTGGAGCAAATCTTCAGTCATCATTCCATTGACTTAAGTTTCTTGACTGAAATATTGCTTTGGGTGGATGGCTGCTCCTAATCTAAGCTGAGTTCCAGCCTATTCACTCTCTAACATCTAATAGTTCTGCAAGAAAACCCAGCGAGAGCTACAATTATTAATTCATCACTTGCAACTAGAAAATGGTTTTATCATAACAAAAGACAGCTGTGAGAAGCTAATTGCTAAGGGGAAGAAATGGTAATGAATATCTCCAGTGAAAGTTACGTCGGGCAGAAATTGCTCAGTCATCTCAGCCTTGTAGATGAACACATTTCTGATGCACTATTTTTCTTGTAATGTGCATTCAGAAAAATGAAGGATTTGCATGGACTTGCCTGCTTCCTTGAAGGGAATAAAGAAGTCTTTGCAGGCAGGGAAAGGGGTCTCTCTGTGTGTTTCCCAATTTGTCTCTAAGCTGAGCAAGTTCTGGACCTTTCTTTAGTAAGCTTACATTGCTTTCTTGAGAGGGCACTGTTCCAACATTCTTAAGGCACACTGAAGGAATAGGGCCTGGTCCAAGTGGAGAAGCAGAACTGGCTTATCAGTGGTTCAGATGGTGAAATTGTTTCGTGTTCAGCTGTGAATGTGAATCTTACAGCTTGCTTCTTCTCTTTCACCTTCAGTAGCCTCCGGATGAATCTTCTCATGTTTCTGTTACTATAAATAGTTTGTGTATTACTTGTGACCTCATCACACTTGCCTAGAAGAGTGTTCTAGGACACTTTCATCTGTCTTCTGGATGGAGCCCCATACCAGCCATCACAAGATGTCATGTGACTTTTGGTGGAGGCCCCTTCCCCAACCGGGAATGAAAGCGTTACCAGAGGCTTATCATGTATGGCCATGTTCTAGAAGCATTCTCTCCTGATGTTTTGCCTGCATCTGTGGTAAGCACCCTCAGAGATTGTGAGAACATGGCCATACAGCCTGAAAAACCTACAACAACCCACATAACAAATTGTCACAAAACACAATTATGTCTCTGTTCACAATGCACATTTATAGCACTTTAACTGGCATGGGTCTGTCCTAGGGAATTCTAGGATTTGAATAACAAATCATTCTTGACCAGAACAGCTTCCTTGCTGTACATCAGTAAATTCTGTGTCCCCTCCAACTACAAAACCAAGAATTACACAGGACAGAAACACAGCAGCTAAAGTGACACTGAACTGCAAATAACTTGTAGATGTGAACAAGGTTTATGGCATTCTGAGTCCACTTTAATTGCCAGAGCAACGTGGTATAGAACCTTGGGTTTTGTTGTTTGGTCAGAGGCACCAGAGGACCTCCCTGGCTGAGGATTATACACTACTCTCCCTAAACTACTTGCCCCAGTATTTCAAAGGGTGCTCCATGGCAGTTAAAATAGAATTATAGTGTTAGCTTTGTTTAGTGTGAAAGAGCCCCAAGTGAGGTGCTTAAGACAGATAGAGAAGCACTTGGTTATGTAGATTCATACTCTGAAAAGGAAAATTGACTGAAGGATCTCTCAGAACTAACTCTAGCAGGTATATAGGCACATATATCCCTGAGTGAAAAGGAAGATTCAAAGTCCTTCACCAAAAATGATTTCAGGCAGAATTTCTGTGCTTGAAAGAGACTGGATTACCCAAGAGAAGGGGTATGCATATTATCTGAGCACTATGCAAGAGCAGAAATAGGTATTTGGCATATATCTTGGCTTTCATTTGTATAGGAGGTCAAGACGATCACTTTGAATTGTGCCTGCAAGACAGCAGGACATCAGTGCAGATGTTTGAGCAGTGGTAGAATGCATGATAGAGAACAAGATTACATAAAGATGTAAATAGTTTAGTAACTTAAGGGGAATAGTATCCTGATTACAGTGTAGCACATTAGTTCTTTATGCAAATGAAAACTGAATACTATTTAACAAGACAAATCAGGTAACACAGAGACAAGGCAACAGGTAAAATAGCTTGTTGCTTGAAGAATCTCTCACCCAACACTATCATTTTCTCTTTGGTTTTTCTGTTTGTATCTTTAAAAGAAATGTCTCTTTAAAATATAACAGAAAATTGTAGTTTACCGCGGTCTTGGATTGTTCATCTCCCTAACAACACGAAGCCATTATACATCTTTTTGATGATAGTCAAGACTGGTGTTTGGAAGAGGGACCAACAGGGAATACCAGATTCTATAGGCTATATTTCAAAATGTGAAATTGGTAAAACCACCTTCGAGTGTTCATTGCCAAAGAAAATCCTATGCTTTTACCATAAGTCAACAAGCAACTTAAAGGCACATGTGTAACTTCAAGTCCCTATTAACTAATGGCAGTAGTTCTCAACCTGTGAGTCCCCAAATGTTTTGGCCTTCAACTCCCAGAAATCCTAACAGCTGGTAAACTGGCTGGGATTTCTGGGAGTTGTAGGTCAAAACACCTGGGGACCCACAGGTTGAGATCCACCGACTTATGGTGATCCCATGGATTTCATAAGGATTCCTTAAGTAAGGAATACTTAGAGATGCTTTGGTCAGCTCTTTCCTCTGAAATATAGCCTATAGCACCTGGTATTCATTGGTGGTCTCCCATCAAAGTATGAATCAGAGCTCATCATAGGCTATCACTTGTGGCCGAATATGATTGTATTCCGGGGTAGAGTCTTGGCGATGTGTCCGTATGTGACTGTAGAGACCTATTTTGGATCCGCATGGTCTTTCGCAGTAAGGACATACATTTCCAGATAGAAGGCAGTCCCATCAAGGGTTTGCTTGATACATTTTCCACATTTCTTCCTTTTGCCCTCTACTCGCACCTCATCAAAATCTACAACACAGTTCCTAACAGCTGACCTCCGGTTAGAACGCTCAAGTGCCAGAGTTTCCCAGTTCTCTGTGTTCATTCCACATTTTTTCTGTTTACTTTAAGACCATCTTTACATCTCTTTTGCTGCCCACCAACATTTCATTTTCAATTTTTGAGCTGAGAGTAAAGTAACTCCTTTGCGTGACCATGATTGGGCATTTGAACAACATGCGAAGTTGATGGTCCAGCATCAAAGGCTACCAGCACTGAATCATCGTTTCAGTACTGGTAGCCTTTGCTTCATCCAGAATGCTGACATTTGTCTGTCGGTCTGTTTCCAAAACCTCTGTCATTAGGCTATTTAGGATCCCTTGTTGTGCTGTTAATTGCCATCATCTTTACTTCAACTTATGGTGTCACTATTAATGAGAGATCTTCAAGTCTTGCAGATTCAGCTTCTTTGACTGAGTCTCTCCATGTGGGATGCCATCTTCATCTTTTCCTACTGCTTTCTATCTTACCAAACATTATTATGTTTTCTAGTGAGTCATGTCTTGTCATGGCCAAAGTACAACAATCTCAGTTGACTTGTGGGAAAGGTTCAGCCTTAATTTGCTCTAGAACCCATTGATTAGTCTTTTCAGCAGTC